AAAAAAAAAAAAAAAAAGAAGCTGAAACTGTGATTTGTGTTGTCTGCATAATTCCTTCCTATTTTGCAGCAGCTGGTGGGAGCAGCAGATGGAAGAACAACAACTGCAGAGAAATAGGTGAAATATTTTAGCTCACTCAAAGCTTGGGGGAGGGGGTTTAGGGCTTTACTTAACTTTAAGGAGTAAAGTCGAGCGCAGAGGCAGCTATTTATTTATATTTTAACAGTTTGTTAATGAGTTTTAAAAATGCATTCTGCCACAACTGACCCTTTGAGGACATTCATGATACTGATATGGCCCAAAATGAAAATGAGTTTGACACCTCTCTTTTAGATTTTAAAGTTACCAAAAAGGTGTACCATATGTGTATTTGTGTTTGGTGATTATGCTGGAGTCAGAGTTAAGTGTGACTTAACTACCGGGACTGACCATTTTGTTATTTCTTTGATTATGTTTACGAGTCATAGCAATTTTGCTAAAAGGTAAAAGTAAACTTTCCAAATCAGTTTCACTTGGAATTCAAATCCATTTCAACAAGACAATAAAGGGCCTAGAGTTATAAATATAAAGTAATCTGTGTAAAAGTTTATCCTAATGTCTAAGGAAGGCGTGATTTCGATTGATCTGTGGGAATTGTTTGCATTTCAGTCAACATTTTTTCAAAGATTACAGAATTGCTTAAAGGTCATCTTTTAACCTAACACAGATGCTATGGAAATTCTTAAAGGGGTAGAAGAAATCTGCTAAGAAATGAGAAAGATCGAACTTTGTCTTTAAATGTTTTCTTTTGAAGGCCGGAAGCGTTCAAGGCTCTGTCACTGAAAGACAAACAAGCAGACCGGAGCCCAGAGGTACGGCTGCACACAATTCTTATACACCTTAGTTAAAACCACTACCTGTCTTGACACACACACGCACACACACACACATATATATCGGAAAGAACCTTACTTGCACTCTGTGGTCATCACCTATATTATCTGATCTTTGAAATCCACCTACTTCTGGCACTATGTGCCTAAAACCTGCTTAGATACAGACTTACAAAAGGAAATAAAACAGACACATCTATAAAAATAACAGTGCAGACAGATATGCTAATTTTTCCACTTCACAGTCCTGCAGAGATAACTGTTACTCTGGGTTTTAGACAAAACGGCTTTCTATTTTTTAAGCACAGAGCTGTCAGAGCATTTTCATTTTACATAGCTGGTGTTTTCAACTCTAAACTCGGTAGATTTTAGATCGCCGCCAAACGTTTATTTCTGATTAAAATCAAAACCACATGCTAAACATTTTACTTTTATTTCTGAAAATGTTGCAAAGACAAAATTACATGAAAATCAGCTAATAATTATGAACATTAATTCATAATTAATGAATCAATACTTTGTGCTGCAGGCTCTCTAAGAACTTCTCAGAAGACGATAACTTTCGCACGTTCTCAGACAGCAAATTATCACAGAATTCAGATCACCTTTAAATTTAATCTTTTTTTTTTAATTCAGTAGAACTATACCATAATTGCCTTCAATGAAAATATAAACCTGGCCATGAAAGAGTTATTTTATCTGCTATGGTAGTTTCCTGACCTTTTCAGTCTCTTATTAAAGCAATGTGCTTTGGAAGATAATAATAGAAGTCACTTTTCCTTGCCTGATTAATGTGATAAGCCTGCAGGTTTCTGCCTCTTATTGGCTGATCAGGTTCTTCTGATGTTTCCCCATGTCGAATGCACGATGATTCAGTCATACAGAACCATTGAAGCTACGTATGTGCTCTGCTGCATCGACTCAGATCCAGAACCGATCATCATTTCCAGATTCAGTTGATGATTTGGAGTTTTTTTGTTGTTGTTGTCGAAAGCTTTGATTATTTTTTGTCCTCTACAACTTGGAAGTGTGCTAACAACATACTTTCTTTAATGTGCATATATTTTTCTTTCTTGCCCATCCCAGTATCCATTTCAAAGCGAGGAAGCACAGGAACATCCAATGAAATGAGCCAGAAATGAAACTGAGACTCAGTTTCATTTCAGTTTGAACAGGGATTTTTGTTTCAAGACCTTAGTGAGTCGACTTAACTCTGAAAATGCACTTAATTCTCGAATGAGTTGATTAACAGTTGCTAGTGGTTTGTTTTATAATTTTATCTGCTTACCTGTTTCACGCCATTAATAAGTCATATGACAAAAAATAAGCAGTATATAAAAATAAAAAGCATATAAGAATTATCCAAACCAATCTGGAAAGCCCCATTTGAAAAATAAGAAATGTATATTTTTTTAAGTCATGCTTTCATTGTGTTAAACACATTTTTTTAAAGGCTGACATCATTTTCATAAACCATGTTCACGCCCATCCCTGTGGTTTCCAGAAATCATGTGAACAGAACTCAGCTGACAGCATACAACAGATGAAGAAAATCATAAAAAGCACCACATCCTGCCGAGGGTTAAAGCAATTCAAGAAAACAAAAATACCACAATGACTCACATCCACCAGTCAAGAAAGGGTTACAAAACTGTTTCCAAGGCTTTGGCCCTCTAGTGAACTTGAGTGAGAGACAGGCTTATAATACTGAACTCAGGTTCCATGTAATTCCCTTTAATTAAATGGAGAGTCTTCCAAGTTGTTGCTGGCCGACCATAAGTGCTGCAAAAAGTGCATCAACGACTGATCTAGACAAAATAACCCATATCTAAAGCACTGCCGCCTTCACTTGTCCCTATTAAAGGCAATATTCATGATTCAAAAATAACAAAAACAGACTGGTCATTGAGTGATGCCAGTAATCTTTCAAAGCATTTAGTGCCCCAAAAACAATAGGAAAACCCAGTAGGTGAGGTAGACAAGAAATCAGGATGAAAACTGGGGGTGTCAAAATTAATTTCAAGACCACTAACCAAGTCATCAGGCAGAGAGACAGTAAATTTACTCAAGCAAGGAGAGAATGTAGATAAATTGCCAAGCGAGACTTGAAATCAGGAACAATGTGCACTTCTTCATGGGGGAAGGTTGGCTCAGAGAGCAGAAAAAGGTTTGTTAATTTGAACAAGACTTGAGTCACAAATCCCTCTCTTGCTGCCATCTTTCATTTCTTGTTTCATGTTCACTGTCTGACACCCCCCAATTGGATTACTTTCTCTCCCACGTTGACATTGTCTGGAGGCAAAAAGACTGGTGTCCAACTGGCACATGTACCAATGAGAATTTCCTCACTGTTCCAGCGAGTGCTATTTGTGGTTGGGTTTGTATAGGAATGAGATTATCAGCTTGTGGAAAGTATTTAACATTTTCTATATTTGATGCCCTTAGCCAAAAAGCACAGACTATATAAGCCCCTTGCTAAACCTCTTTTGTGTTTTTTTTTGTGTGTGCATATTTACAGCGACTTCACAGATATAAAGAACAATTTCATGTTTAGTTTTTTATTTATTTTTTTTTTTTTCTGTGAACGAATTAAACCTCTTTAGCGGAACAATCCAAGTATCAGTTGTTTCAAATAAGCTATAATCAAGTATTCTCTTTTATTTTTATTTTTTTTGTTTATTAGCAAGGTCCATAAGATATTTAGTCTTTTTCTCTTGAGTGGTGAGATTTGCAGGCAGCCTTCTTATAATTCATTCAGAATTGTTTCTCATGCATACTCATTCTAGCTCTGGGCAAAATATGAATAATATTATAAAATGGTCTAAATGCTCCCTAAAACACATGAAATGATGCACAATCAATTGTGAGACAGAAGTTTGTTCATGTCTGACAGTCTCCTCAAAGGAGTTTTTATTTTTTATTTTTTTTCTCCATCTCACTGCCGGCCATCACTGCGCTAATAACGAAGTCAATTTCACAGCAAATCACTCCCACATGCTTCACTCACCTTAAGCCACATTCTGTTGTTTTGTGAACGGGTATAGCGCCTCAGAATGTGTTGTTTTAGTCTGCACATGAAGACAAAAAAATAAGAATAAAGATTGTGGCTATTGTTACTTTGATGGACAAAAAATAAAAATAAAAAATAAATAAAAAGTGCCTGTTACCAGCCAGACCTAAAATGATGCTGTTCCAGCTAGAATAATTGGCCACGTTCTGGGAACCTTTTGAGTTGTGAGAGACTTAAGGGCCGTCACAGCCTGAGGGTCCGAGTCGTGTTTTCTGGTTAAATAATTAATAGAGATAGAAACAAAAAATAGGGCATTGAGAGTTATTCAAAGGACTCTAGTTAGTATATCAAAAGTATTTTTTGCTGCAAATCATGACATTACTTTATACTCAGGAGCGTCCAATTAAAATCATAGAGTTATGTTTCAGTCGTCCTTTGTTGTGTTTAAATGTTGCAGAATCATGGTCCCCAATCCAAAAGATAACAGCAATAATAACATTCGGTTGTCGATTAGCGTTATTACTTGCTGTAATTTTGATTGCTTTTTTATCATTGTTTGGTGACAGTTTGGAGGGGAATCTTTCTTTCAGCAGGAAGAAGTCTCTATAAGTAGAGACGGGTTTGATCTACTGCCATCACTGGATGTGATACTGCAGCTGATCTTGGATTTGATATCAATCGAGGCCACCTGTTCATCCATTGATCCAGACTGATTGATCCCGAGCTTTTTGGAATTCATTCTCTCGCTGACTCTAACAAGGCAAAGGATATGTTGCCCATTTAAATGACAAAACATGCATAAAAAAATTCCCAAGTGATATTTAAACACATATTTCAAAAATTACTGTTAGGTTACTATAAATTGTCTACATGAGTAAGTCTGTGTGTGTGTGTGCATAGCTGTCTGTTTACTCCAGGACTAAAATAAGAAATGTTGCCCTGTGATGAACTGGTAACCTGACTTAGGGAGTTCCAGCTTTTCCTGCAATGGCCCCTGGAGATGAGTGATGGAGATGGTCCCAGGGGCCCTGCACAGACAACTGGGTCTAGACAGTAGATGATGGTTCCACAAAAGGGTTGTCTTTTCTGTGCTGTATGCAAACATTAAGAGTTTTCAAAGTTAGGTTGAGCTAACTGAGGAGAAAACTCGACAGAGGAGCAACAAGCAGCTTCAGCAGCAGTGAGAAGGCTAGCTTAAAAACAGGAAGCTGTTTTATTTGTTCCCTTTTTTACTTCTGACGTCTTTCTGTCATTGTTCATAATGGATTTGGAGATGATGGTGGCATGTTGGAAGATTTTTGTATGAAGTTGGAGTGTTTACCATCTAGGAAGTACAAAAAGAGTCTACTTTTAAAGTTTGCTATGCTAACGAAGCTAGCAGTGCTAAGTCTCCACAAAGGTTTTGAAAACACTGAAAAATATCACAACAACCATATGTTTCTGCTTTTGTTTCATAATAACAACACTCCCCTGTTTTATTCTTACTTCTCTGAAACCGTCATGTCCATAGAAGGTCTCGGCTTCATGAATAATTAATGAGCAATTAAGACGGAAAGACTCCTTATTCTGTTACGAAATGATTTTGTTACTGAAAGTGGTGGGTTTTCATTTTATGTTATTAATATTTTGCACCTTAATAAGGCCACAGTGTTGACAGCAACTGTATAACTGACAGTGCCTGTGTAATTTATATACACCACCAGGATAAAAATACCCCTTTGAGCAAAATAACAGTGAATGTGCTCAGATATTTAACGCTGGTTTTGAGATTGGAAAGGAACCCTAAGATCTAGAGCATATCTATTGCCAGCAGAGTAGAAACATGTTGAAAATTAGCAACAATAAAATATTCAAAAACTGTCCAGACAGAAATTGAGGCTGAGAATAAAAGTGCCAACTCTATTTTTTTGGAAGTTAAGGTAGTGCAAAAGTGTTATTGAAAAGCAGTATGCTAGGTTTATTATGACAATTAAAGCTACCTCAATACCAGAGGAGTGCCTGCTGTGTACTGTTTGAACCATCTGTTCCCACTTAAAACAACAATAAAACCTACTGGGCCTGTCATATCCCAAAGCCAATGCAGGCCTCTACCTTAACATCAACAGTTACAGAAATAATCTCAAATATTATCACGGGTGGCTCTTGGCAAACTACTCCTTTTGCAAGGTTATATACGCAGTAGCTCATAGCGCTGCAATAAAATAACTTTACCTCTCGGTTAACACGCTGTGGTTTATTCTTTTAAAATGTTGCTTTTATGATTTGTTGGAATTATACTCGTAGAGGATCGGGGCTTTTGGGGGGGTTTTTTTGGTAATCTGATTGTCTAAAGTTACAGTCGGAACTAAAATATAAAGGACAGAAAACTATGAACGACGTACACTGAGAAAGCTGAAGACTAACAAGGGGCAGGTACAATCAATAGCAAGAGAAACTAGGTGTGAATGCAGCAGCTGAACAACCACAAAAGGTCAGAGGCTATAGAAAGTCTGTGTCCATATGCCTGTATCCAGCATATTTAAACAATGTTGTTGATGAATGGGCTCAGTGATCTTTAGTTAGATTTTTGAGAAAAGCAGCCCTGAGATGGAGAGTGATGACAGCTTGTTTTTTTAAGAGTGGCACTGTGTTGCCCCACAGCTTTGAAAGCGAGTCACAACAACTCTGGCATGTCTGGAAGAAATGCAGTGGACCGTATATCGTTTCTTTTATATATATATATGAGCTGGTGAGCAAAGGTTCCTATCTGTTTACAGTAAAAGGATGGGGAAGGAATAATTTTTTGAAAGAATTTCTGAAATCATTATGTGCCTTTACAAGTGTTGTAATTTTATTTAATTTTTCCCCGTTCAGGGAGCGGTGGAATATGCCTGGATGAAATGTTGCCAAAGTCTGGGCATACACTGGACAGAGAAGTCCAGCAGCATTCAGCGCTCCAGCTCAAACTGCACCACCACATGGCAGGGTTCAATAATTCACAGCTCATGAATCATGTTCTCACACTGCATGACCCGATGCTTGGATGCGACCTGACTGCTCTCCCTGCACGCGTGTTTGTGACACATGATAACCTTGAATCCAGGACTAAACAAAAGAAGAAGAAAAGAGGAAAAAAGCAAAGAAGAGGAAAAGTCAGGAGACATGAATGCCCAACAAAAGCATACTTCCTTGCCTCCGTACAGACTCCATGCTCCAATACTGACCTGAAGGAGGTGTCATGTAATGTCATTAAGTTGAGGAAATCAGTAATCTTGCTACTTTGTTGTCAAAAAGCCAAATGCTATTGCTAAGGATTGATTTGTAAAAGAAACAAAACGGGTAAAACATCAAAGGGGTTGACTTTTTTTTTTAAAGAGACTATTATTGTCAGCAGAGTTTCTCAATAGTACATTATTCTTATTTCCTGTGTTCTGATCTCTGCATTTTACTTGATTGTTTCTGTGTTGTCTCTGCAAAACCCTGGCTCATATTCCCATTGTGTTCAGCTTCATCTGTTCATTGCATTAATTAGTTACTTTGTCCTTCTGCTGCTGGCTCAGGACACTCCCTCAGCTGTTCGTCATTCTTCTGATTAGCCTCACCTGGATTCAATGTCACTTTTCACACCTCAGCATTTAGGCCCCTCGATTCTCGTTGATCTCTGATGGTTTGTCCAATGTTTTGGGTCCTCCAAGAAACCACACGTGACAGGTTCTGCTTTTATTATGAAAGAGAAACTTTTTTTTTTTGAGGGGAAAACCATTTATTCTTCAGATATGTGTTTTTGTATCACAGCTAAGAAGATGAGCTACTCATCTGTAAATCAACAGCCTTCGATTCCTACAATGAAAACCTGTTAAGCTGAAAGTTGCTCCTCAGGCCCATAAATGTATTCATACATTCAGAGCTGCAAAAATCCTTTAGCTGCCAACATGTAGCTGAGACATTTTTCCTGAGGACTAAACTGTGTCTAAAGTTTCTCAGTTGTCTCTGTTTTTAATTTCAGGACAAATTAAACGTATGTAAAGTTCTGGCAGACTTAAGTGTTAGTGTATGTTATGCATCTTGTATGAATAACACACACAGTTAGTGTGGGTCTGGCCTGTTGATGTTGTGAAACAGTCTTGCTAACTTTACAATAGAAAATTGAAAATATCCCCTTGAAATAAATGCGTAATGTCCAAAAAAAAAAAAAAACACCCTCTGGCATATTGATTTATTTTTGTTTTTAACATTAGCCTGAACAAAACAGAAAACCATTTTAACACAATGTGGGTAATGTGGCATATGTATTAATGGTTTATTGCAAAGCAGCATAGAAAATTAAGGTGTGTAAATGTAAAATGTGTTGCGCAGCACCTCCTGACGTAAATTGAAAACTGTGTGTTCTTGCAGCTCTGTGGCAGTGATGTCTTACGTCTCTTTATGCACAGACTTTTGTCGGCCCAACACAAGTGATGTTTACACCAATCGCGCAATGAAAAGTATAGTATGATGGCCCCCTCAGGCCATGAATAAATCATGCACCTTCACAGTCAGGGAGTCTATCTAAACTGTTCTCCCACTCTGTGACGGTATGCGCGGCGGGTATGCAAATTGTCAGCCGATCGCAGCACTGTGGGTGTACGTACGCACATGCACCCAAATTAGACTGCTTTGTTGTTCCAGCTCCTGCTAATTGATTTAGGTAGGTTTAAACCCCAGCTCCTGTTCCAACCCTCTTCCCAACACCAATTATCCTGCAGCAGTGTGTTGGCTGCTGCTCTCTGACATGTGGGCTGCAGATGGCTGTCCCGACGAACGGCGCCAGGACAGAGGCAAGCGTTTCCCTGTGAATTATTGTCACAGTTTGCCACATGACATGTTCGCTGTAATAAGTCTCGCTCAGTCGGAACGGCGAGGCTCTCCTGAAGAAAGGCCAGTAGTGCTGTGCATACACAAGAGGGATTTTCCACACTCCTGCACAGAAAACAATGAAACCTCCGCCAAGCAGAACACAATTCTGCTTAGGTGGGATTTCACATGAGGCAACAGCAAAATTCCAAATCAGTGGTTTTGTATAAATATATATTTTTAAAAAAAGAGAAAATCTGATGTTGCAATGGCTCATAAGGAAACGTTTTACGGCCACTAAGAACATCTTGAGGAAAAGGGACATTTACCTGTCATAAATAGGGTGTCACTTAGTTGCTGTTTTATACTCAATCAACCCTTTAAAACACAGCTGTAATGCAACTGGAAGCCATATAAACAGATGGTCCTTTTACTGCATGTTTGCCATGCTAGACTGCACTTTCAGCTGCCCGTTAATTTGTACATGTTCTCCTGGTCCGCTTCACGTTATTGTTCAGAGAATTATTATTAGTAGATTCCAATCATAGATGTAATAAAACAGAGTGTTTTCCACTTTTGAGTGATCAACAGAAGAGGAACAGGGATGTTACTATGAAGCTGTCATTTACGATAACCACAAGTAAGCTGTATCATTAGATCTACATCACCAGACAACATGGTGGACAATTTTTGGGTAGGTGCCTAAACAATCAAGTAATAGATCACTTATTGAATACATGTTTCATTTTTTTTTTGTTTTGTTTTTTTGTTTTGTTTTTCGAGTATTTGTTCATTAAGTTAATTCTGTATTTTTTCCTAATTTTGACATTATTGGTTCTCCATAGATAAATTGAATTTGAACAGGCTTCTGATGTTCACAAATTTCATTGCACTATAATTAATTTACATTTATAGTGCAATAAACTGGCCAGATTTAAAGACAGCCTTTCACTGAGGCGATCTCTAGAGTAATGTGCTGTCTGATTTGAGGAATTGACTGGCTTGGTGGTTTATTTTAAGGTTCATCAGTCACGTCAATTTCAAGTAGATTACTTCTTCTCAGCAGGAGAGAGATCTTATTAAAGCTGACAAATTCTGAGCCTCTCTGCCTCAATTATACCTCTGGTATAATCACTTTTGCCCTTGTGCTTATGTTTATACGTTCTGCTGCTTGCTAATTTGATAGTTGGCAGGGAACTTAAAAAAATGTTGGATGAAATTTATTTTGACTTTAACTCTTGAAATATTCTCTTTATGTGAGGTTCATTCAAATTTGTTTCATGAATTCTTTATGAATTAACTTTTTTTTTCTTTCATCTTGGTTGTGTTAGCTTGATTTAACCTTCAGATACTCTGAAAGAACAGAGAAACATTTTTTTAAAAAAAACCCAAGGTAGATAGAACGATAAAAGTTATTTCTGGCTGAGTCATGTCATGTCTTACCTCAAATAAGCAAAAGTGAGTGTAGCACTCCTTGCATGAACTTTGCACTGGTCAACATATGTCGAATATCGGCATAGTTGTCACGCCAACTTCAACTTTCTGACCATGCAGTCACAGGATAGTTTCTGCCCAGAAGATGAGTCACAGTCAAGCTTCAAGAACTCTCAAATCAGAGCTGCAGGAATAGAACCATGTCATCTTTTCTTGCAGCTTTGGGACAGAAAACATTTTATATATAT